CGTACTTAATTAATGATGATTTTGGGCCCTTATATGTAATATTTTTTAAATATCAGGCCCTTATATGTAATTATTTTTAATTTGGGCCCTTATTTGTAATTATTTTCACTTTTTGGGCCCCTATATGTAAATTACCCTTAATTTTTAATTATGATCAAGTTGAAAACTACGAAGTTAAAAGTGACGATTTAGTTTTTAGTAATAGTGAAACCAACTAAGACCCCTTGCTTCAACAATACTTTTTATCTCAACAAGGCCCTTCATCTCACTTTCCGTCTCAACAACACCTTCTGTCCCAACAATACCTTCTATTCCAATACCTTCCATTTTAACAATATCCTCTGCTTTAACAAAATCTCACAACCCAGCAATACTTGTCCCAAGAGGTTGAATTTGAATCTTACTATATTCAAAATGAAGTAGAAAATTTTGTGAATCAATAGGTTGAATAATCTTGCAACAATACAATTGTAAATTCATTAAAATTTTAAATAAACTCACCATGACTAGAGATGTATTAATGTAAATTTCATTGTAATTTATACAATATATAGTGCATTGTCACATGATAATTGCACTAGCATTACAAAGATTTGCCGGTATTAATAAATATCCATTATTGTGTTTAGAACTTTTATTTTATATTTATTTTTATATTAACTTTACAAAAATTTTAGTTCAAATCATATAATCAAAATTATATGTAATTTTGATTTTTAAACTTATACAAATTTACGTAAAATTACGTAAAAAGTTTAAAAATAGTTTTTATAAATTATTTTTTCTTTACAAAAATAAATTATTAAGTTTATTAATTTTATACCAATTGCAAAAATGATGTATGATACTTGCAAGATAAAATTTAAACCAAAAAAAAAGAGGTTTGTATTAGTAAAAAAAAAAAAGGTAGGATTTACTTAGTCTTTGATTTGTACCCGGGTCTTTTACAAAATCCATATTGAGTGACTTTGAAACATATTTGGTACAAATCAAGGGGGTACCGATCAAGGAGGTATCTTGCACCGAAATTTACAGTAATCTTTTGAAGAAGTAAACTGAAATACCTACTTTTTATAAAAAATCCTTGAAAAAAGTAGTAGGCCAACGAGAGTATATAAGGTTGTAAGGTTTCTTCTTATAAGAGTTATAGTTGTATAGTTCAGTTTCTCAGTTTTACTTAGTATTCCTATTTAGAGACTCACAGTAATGTTGTTCCCAAAATATTCTTTTGGTTTGAATATCAAAAATACAAAGAAATCTACTAAAAGCTTAATCTAAAGACATAGCCTACTTGTTGTTTATATACCTGCTCCTCGGTATTTTATATATATAAAGTTTTATCAATAGCAAGTATGTTTGTATAGTACTAGAAATATTTAGGTATCCACTTTGTTGCTTTTCTATATTGTTTTTCTGTAGTTCAATTTGTTTTGTTGTTAACCAAAAGATCATTAGAAAGAGTTGCTAAATTATATATCATATTATATAATTATATATATTTAGTTTATATTCTTAACCTATTTTACCTATATTTTACTAATATTATTGATAATTTTCAAATTAGATTTTTTTTAAATAATTGCTTTATAGTTTTTTTTTTTTTTGTAAGTATTAGCAGCTTTGCCAGTATCTTTATTAAATCAAAACATATATACATGGTATACTCAAACTATCTAAGTTACAAATCTGACATCACTTAGCTGCCCCTAAGGATGCCCAAGTGTGGTCTGCTTTACTAGTTAAGGCTATTGCTCGTACCAAAGAGCTATACCAAGCTAGACTAAGAAACTATCACAAGATGGTTTCAAAATGAAAGAATTTCTCACTAAATTATGTTGGCAATTTTTTTTTTTAGACTATCCTCCTTTTTAAAACAAAGTTCTAAATTTAATTTTTTAATAGGTTATTACCAAAATTCTTTCATTTTATTTGTATTTTTTTTCCTTTTCTTCCAATTTAACCTGTCTTTTCCAATTAGAGACTAGCTTTTAGGAGTCTTCTCATATCTTTTTCTATAATTTTTTCTTTCTGTTTTATAGTTTTGATTTTCTATCTTCTTCTCAAGAGCTTATTTTATAAG